TGTTCGGCGAGATTTCAGGTATATAATATTAATATATTTGTTTATAAATTTATCCTCATTAATTTCGTGTTGTGCATCGATATCATTCAATCAATAGATATGAATATGTTGGCAAGATTAATTAAACATGAAGATCATAATGATATGAATTGTTAAACTCATGACAGTGGAAGACTTATATATAACAATATTTATTAACGAAAACTTATAACTTACAAGTACTGGAGTCAACTACACCAGTTCAACTACTTGAACAGTTCCAACTAACTTAACAACTACATGAAACAAAAACTTTACACTGCTAGTGTTCATGTGATCATGACACGTGTTCATAGATAGACTGACGTCATCTAAATATTAATGTTTATCTTAACATGAATGATAGTCTGATAGATGTCAACAATATAAATGATTGGTATCAACAATTCCTCACAGTTGTAGTGTGATGCCAGGGTTTCCATAATCTAAGGAAATTTCCTTAGAAAATAACTCTACTACAGGGGGAGGGGGAGGGGCAGTGAGCCTAGCAAAATGCAAAAAGTCACTGCATATTTTCAGCCTAGAAACTCGCAGACCCATGATTTTTGCTTATTTGCTGAAAACACTCAAAAAGTAACACCATGCATCATTAAATGACCTATCTAAACTTAAAGATGCTGGACTGGGAAAGAAGAGAATTGTCTTTCCTGATAAGAAATCCCCATTTATGAAATTAAAGTCAGTTCTCGAAACGGAATATGCAAAGTTAAAGTCTCAGGACGATGCCTTTGAACTTATGCGGGCTGAGGGTGGTGGTAATTCGAGACCAGTTTGTCTCATTCCAATGCCTGCTGATGGTTATAGTGTTCCATACTTTAAAGAGGTAGTTACTGGTAGTAAAATGATTTATATCCGACCCATTAAAAGCTCACTTTCACTGGCAAAGGCTGAAGTATCAACCAGTGCTTCAGAATGTGCCAATTGTCAAAAACAGGTTCCCATTTTAGAACTGCGTCAACATTATGAAGCATGCAAACCTGTGACTGTTGATGTCGATGAGAAAACAAGCGTCTTTGATGATAATGACATACAAGTATTAGTGGATAGTGAAGTCTCAAATGAAGATAAAGTTCCTGACGATAACACTGCATGCAATCACAGTACTGTTGATAGTTCGCTAAACTGGAAACCCCAACTGCGAAAAGCTTTCCCTGATGCCAAACATGATGATATTGAAGAGATTACTTCCCGCGCTCTAACTGTTGATGAAGCTGCTGGTTTCCTACTGGACAAAAGATCTTCTACTGCTGAAGATACAGTGCACCTGATATTGAAGACTTGATTGAAATGTTTGTAGATAGAAATGCATTGCCTTCGGAGGAAGCGATTGTTGTTGATAGAGAGTCGCTATGGATTGACGACTTCTTCAAGTTCTATAAAAAATCTCTTGGAAAACATGACAATCTTCAGAAGGAACTTTGTGCACCCTTTTGCCAACAAAGAAGGTCTTGACGGAGGTGCTCTGAATGTAGAGTTTTTTACACTGGCCCTCGAAGAAGTAAAGAATAGACTCTTTGAAGGAATGGAACCTTATATGGTCCCAATTAAAGATGGGACAAAGGGAATTTTGTTTCACATTGCTGGTTAGATAGTCAGCCATGCAGTTTACCAGAAAGGCTCCATATGATTTCTAATACTAGCACGACATCTTTATTCATCATATGTTGTCGATGAACCAGAAGATCAGATTGCTTCATGTATGATGAAGGAATATATCCCATTAGATGCATCGACAGCTTCATTGCATGATTTTCTAAAAGGCTTAGCTTGAATCTTTTCAGTCAAATGGTGATTTGACTGAGAAGACTGTGAAGTTTTATGGCAAGTGATAAACTCTTCACGGTGCATGGCCAAAAGAAAAGCTCATAGCATCTAGTTTATCATGAATTGCTAACATCTAGGAGAAATGAAATGGATGAATTCAAAGAAGGATTGAAGTCTTTGCAGGTTTTCTCCAGTTGCTAGCTTTGCAAGAATAAAGAAAATGCAAAGTACTTCTTTGTTCTTCAGAACATGCCGCCCTCAACATTGAAACTCTTAAAGATTATGATGTTTAATGTTGAATCCTCGTAACTTTGCTGAACGTCGACAGTCCTATGAATGGTTCCTAGAATACATTGGTCAAGAAAAGGATGTCGAGTTTCCTGGTGACAACAGATTGACGTCCCTGCTTCAGTTTTGGCCAGATGGACTGTTATACCATTTGGTGGTTTGACAAAGAGGTTGAAAGTAGCATTTCTGGCTGATGTACAGCATCTGCTTGTACAGCTGTGTTACGAACCCTAACGGTTCAAAGAAAACATTTTTCGAAGCAATGGATATTGCCTTAAAATTTGCAAAAGTGGGATTCGGTAACTCTTAATCAATTTAGGATTAACAGATTTACAGGAAAGAAATGTACAATATATTATCAATATTGACTATAGCTTACAGGTTTATGTTGATGATAATGCTTAGACATCTATATTGGAGGTTTAGAGTGGACATTTATATTTATGCTAGTGTAAGTAGTACTATTTAAGTTTTGTCAAAATGTTTCCAGATGACATAATAATATGGACATACCAGGTAAAATGCATGTAAAATACTTTATCTAGTTTAGTTTACCCAGGTAGGTCATTTGACGAGTTGAGTTACTATAATTTTTTTTAAACCTGTCCATACTATAAATGCAAAGTATAAAGATTACTGCAGTGTGCTAAACTAATAATAGTGCACATATTATTGCTTGTGGATAACTCAAACTGCACTTATTAGCATGTTGAGCTAAAACAATTTCTTTTAGCATTTCATCTAATTCCAAATTATTCTAGATCATCAAGTTATTTTATTTCAGAATTGTCGAGGGAAATAGTTAATAGCCCACATCATTTTAACAATTACCTAGGCCATTTTAAAGTGCCCCCCACTTATTCTTACCAGCTACACCATGTGTCCTGATATAAAAAGTTAACTGCAATAACACAACTGATGTAAACACAAAAGTAAGAACTTTATATAATGCCGTCTGGAACTAGTTAATTCTATTGAACTAGACATATTTTCAACAACCTCAACTGTGTTAAAATAAATGTCAACTCCATAGCATAATGTGTTATATGCTTCAATAAGTGTGTAAAAAATTAAGTTGCTGTGGAAACACATGTTACCGTAATCCTTGCTCGTCGCTTCTGATTCCAATATGCACGATCTGTTCAAGTTTATAATATAAAAAATAATCAAATTCGTTACGATGGTTGCTCAAACAGACTCCCTACAACATTACTTCGGCAAACTTCCGGAAACATGAAAAAAGCCTTAATTAATACCTGGAGCGAACTTACAATATTCGCCATATATAAGATTTTCAAACTTTCTTTCAACGTTTATAGTCTTTTATACAGGTTTAATTATGGATAATAAAAATAGGAAAAATACGTGTTTGCTATTTGCTTAATTTATAAGGAAAAGTCACTGCCCAAATTTGCTGCAAGCTCCACCACGACGATATGAAACGTTTGAAACGCGCGACCAGCGACGCGACGATGTGAAACGCGACGATGCGAAACGCGCGACTCGACGAGATGAAAAGCGACGAGATGAAACGCGACTCGGCGAGATGAAAGGGGACTCGGCGAGATGAAAGGCGACTCGAATACACGTATTACGAACTGAAATAAACGTTAACGCCTTGACATTCGACACGACGACTAGAATATTGAACTATGTCCCCTATATACCTAACTCCATACCTGGGAGTAAAGATCAGAAAAATATTTCTTGGAATACTGATCTTGCTCAGTACATCTACTCAGAAATATAGTGATATTGTGAATCCGAATTGGCTTTAAGGCGGGCCCCTTCTGTGAAGAAAAACGTGAGGTCTTATATGCCCATGGTAAAATTGCGACCTAATCCTAGAGCAATTGCCTTACGCACTTCATTCTTTATTTATTATATTTATTAAGTAAAAAAACAATGTTATTATAAATGGATCAAACACAGAGGTTCAGACTTGGTTAATAAGCGATACTGAGCGCAGTGGCCTGCGAGTTTGGCAAGCAAATAATAAAAGTCGGTAAGTAAGTCATGCTTAATCGCTTTGTTAAAGACAATAATAGTATTCTAGCTATCTTGCCGTGGACATCGAACCCAAAACATTTAGGCCTAGTGAATTGAGTATCGTCCATCAACTATAATTTGTACTCGTAAAAATACCATAATATATACCAAAGAGTAAAGTCGCTTTGGGCGAAAAATATGCCTAGTGGAAAACCAGCTTAAAATAGCATTATTATCTATTACGAAACGTATTTAAAGGCAAGCATGTGGTATTTATTTAAGTCTTTATGTGTATCTCGGCTTTGCCTTGTGCAGTATTGAACTTCCCGTTCCTTAATTGTATATGAACTCGTGCATATGCTTTTACATATGTAAAACCCGGTAACGCACTCACACTGAGTCACAGCTAGAATGCTTTAATCCTTACAAGTTTTCCTAAAGCTATATAGCGATGTCGCCATGTGTTTATATATATTTATAGTCATGTTCGTAGGTGTTTAAACCTGAGTGAGGATTGGGGAATGGCAAGCCATACCATATGTTTTCCCATATATATTTTTGACCGGAGTTTGTGAAGTATAAACAAAATTATATACACAAATATGCCCCATATAGGGCCTTTGTGTATCTTTACTCTCTTTCGATGAGCATTATTTTCCTCGGCATATACTTTTTTTTTAATAAATATGTTTATACGGTATAAATATACTTTTTTTTTAATAAATATGTTTATACGGTATAAAAAACAACTATATACAGTATGCATACATTCTATAATCGGTACAAATATTGTTCTACAGTTCGGGCCAGTAGTACTACATGCAGAATGGCACGTTAAAGTATTGTACGGCTATAGCCTATAAACCTATATCTAGAAGAAAATTCATATTCTCAACAATTTTGTTTCACAATGACATGTATTTTTAACCCGATTTTGGGCAGGGCCGAAACAAAAACGATGCCGGGGGGAGAGTTTTATTCATATAATTTCATTCAGTTTTACCGGACGGACCTTTACAAAAAATCCGTCGGGTGGCCGGAATTGAAAAAAAAATTGTAGTTAAACAACACCCCCCCCCCTCCTCTTCCACCCGAATTATCGTTCTAGTTTCGGCACGGACTTAGGGAAGTTTTACTGTTATATAGTATATTAGAAATGATTATATTGAAATACTAGGTCTAGGCTTATCAATCATCATGATTCAAAGTTTCAAATCTTTGACGCAAGATGTGTAATATTTATGATTCGCGCCGTTCAGTGAATATTGACGATCTATCGTGACATACTGTCTTACGCGTATAATTATTTATATATATGTACTTGCAGTTCGGCTGTCCATTGTCCCTCCATTTTTATCGTCAACAGCACGAATAGACAAAAGCCGACAATTAGCGATGGAAGAAGTGTTTGGATCTTCTTCACATTCATTGGGGGAAAAGTTATTTTTTGTCGGCGCTGTATGTTTCGAGTTATTATTACCAGAAGTGTTAGTGGATGAAGTAAATGTTAAACGCCATCTACGAGTTGCGCGGGAGAATGCCATCCGGTTCTAAAAAACAAAACATGAATCTCATTATATTCGAAATAAGAAAATTTGGAATTCGGTTTGAGTGTGTGATCAAGTTTGGTCATGTTCTACAAAGGTTTTCAGGAAGTTTTTCCGAAATTAACGATCGAACGGTTTGTTTAAAAAGTTTGTGTAGATCTGCTATCCGTTGGAAAGTTTCAACGTCAATGTTATTTGAAAAAGCAGGCATCACAGTTCATCATTGTCTATCATATAGACTGAGCATATCTGAGCGTCGTATCATGGATTCATGAGAAAAGTTCCAGTTCCATAATTGATATTAGCTTTCAGTATAAAACGGTAAATGCAAAAAACTGTTTCCAATTTCGTGTAATGTTTTCAGTACTTTTTAAAGCCCTTGAGCGTGAAAAAGAAAAGCTGATTATTTATAGGATTTAGTGTAAATATATAGCTAATTAGTTATTTTTGAAGAATTGCCAGGTTTAAATCGGTTTACGAAATGGGCTTAGCCAGCGGTGTAGGCTCATCGTGTTTACAAGAATATTTTTTCAGGAATTCAAGCATGTCCCTATTTAGAAGTCAACCTCTCCCAATGTTCGTATTTATCACAGGACTGTAATGGTATTCTTCTCTACCAATCTACCAATCACATTCGACCGGAAGCGACGCTTACCATATGTACTAAATAATATCTTACCTCTGTATTTAGTGCGTATTGAAACAAAAATATAAAGAATCCCTGAAATATGCATCAAAATAAAATGTTACATATCATCTGTTTCAAGCAAATTATAAAGATTGAACGAACCATAGTCTATCCATCACAACCAGTGAAACAGACGGGCGACTGTAACGACTGTTAGCTACTAAGTATTGAACGTTAAAGCAATCAGGAATTCTCACCTGCAGCGAACAGAATATCGCAAAAAGATATTCCAGCGTTAAAGTACGAAATCCGAAGAAGAGAATCCCGAATATCCACGTGAATCCCATTACAGGAAATAAAATCACCAGTGAACGAATCGTTGCTCTAAAAATGCACAAAACACAAAGCTAACACATTATGTGAAATTACACTAATCAATCAATTTAAATAGAGAATAATTATCATTTATAGACCTGGAACAAGGGGAATTCGACGAAATATTACCCCAAGGGAAGATATATCCCGAGGGCTTCGCCCGAGGGATAAATCTTCCCGAGGGGGTAATATTTCGTCGAATTCCCCGAGCGGAAGGTCTATAAATTATATATTATATCGAAACAACGTGTAGGCAGCGCAAAAGCTGGGTGAAATGGCTTCTTTTCCCTCCATTTTAAAATTGTTCACAACCTCGAGTCGTGTGCGAGGCATCCACGCGTGGTACACCGCTGCAGCGGGGTATTCGACTTTTATAGCATAATGTGAAAAAATTCGATGGAACTCCATGATTAATTTACTGATCACGTAGTACAAATCGAGCTTTCTGATTGGATGATTTAGAGTTGAGATATAATATTGGCGAAAATATTCTCAACACGAAAAATAACCATCATTCCATATTTTCAAAACCCCATATCCGGATCGTGGTCAACATATTCCGTATCTGGACCAGTATACCGGATGTCTTATGCAGTTCAGCCATATACTAAACAAATCATTGACCGCTTGTTCGGTCTGTAAAAGCCGCGGTCTGATATGAAAAACAGAGAAATTCTGAATGAATAAATGCTCAAGAGAAAATTTAATTGCTTTTGAAATTAATAAGACGTCTCCAGACAATTTAGGTAAACTAAATAATTCAATATTTTGTTTTTTGTTTTTTGTTTTTGTCAAATGCGTACCAGGCTACTAATACGAATTGATGCATTTTTTGTTTGTTTCAAGTGTAAATACATGCCTTATGATATATAATAAACTGTTTATTAAGCTCGCTTGCTCGGCCTTTACCGAGAAATATCGGACATCAATCTTTTGGTACAAACCTCGCTCTTCGGTCCGATACTTCTCGGTAAAGACCTTGAGCTCGGTTAATAAGAAGTTAGTAATACTCGCACATGTTAAACGTTTTCGCACATTTTTACATTAGCTAACTTCTAGTCCATTTAACACTCCTGTTGTGAGTGTTTTGTTGACAAATAAACGCACGCGCTGAACATACAATGAACGAGAAATTTCAAGTTCATTGTGTGGTCAGAAAGTGCGTTTATTTGTAAACAAAATACGAGCATAAAGTCTCTAACACTTTTAATATACAATCTGAGTTCATTGATTGCTGCATTGAAGATCAAAGCTTTGTTGTAGGCTGTAATTTTTGAATAAACCATGATTTTCATGGGTTATTGCGAATAAATTATGATTCCCACGATTAGTCGCCTGGCAACAAGAAACCACGTGATTGATTTTGACCAATCACGTGAGTAGATTCAGGCCAATGCACGAAGATTGTATATTCATGTGGAATAACTAACAAACAAACAAACAAACAAAAACAAACAAACAAACAAACAAACAAACGCTCGCACTAGTAAGGGCCCTCGTCAGGAGAGTCAGTAACATGATATCAACGAGAAGAAGTGGAGACGTTTTTCGTGTTGTAACCAGTTGTTATACCACATTAATTTTGATGAGAAGTTATTCAAAGACACTGCTCCCCTCAGTTCACTGATGTTTGGTTACATTTTTAGATCACTGTTATGGCTTTCAACCCAAGCCAATTTCGTAAAAGGTTGCAATTAACGAACTGGCGTACCTTGCAATTTCAAACCTCGATGCAGCTTTTGAAGAGATTGGCAACGACGTCTTTTTAATAACTTGCCTTAGAACCATGAATAGAATCACGAAATTTATCTAAGACGAAAAAAGTGGATATCTTACATAAAGCGTTTCCTCGACAAACAGACCTTTTTTCTACACTTGTTTAGTCAATATACACTTGTTTAGTCAATTGTAGATTGACATGATTGACATTGACACCTCGACATGTTCACGACACCCACGACAAAATTGAAATCATGCAGGCATCATTAACCGCCGAGACGGGGTGGGGGGTTTTGGCGATCATTATTATTGAAGTAAGGTAAGTAGGGGGGTATTCTGTTTAGGACTTACCTCCCCTCCATTCTCTCATAGAGGACTTACGACATTCTAGCTTACGACGAAGAATTGATGGGTATTTGAAGAAACATTTTCAATTTCGGAAAAAACGAATGTGTTTGCGCGAGAAACAATTATACTGTCCCTGTGTCCCATACATGCTATAGCATGTAAATATTTATAAAAAATTACATAGAAGAATGCTGCTGAATGCGCTCATATATTATTGGTGAAAATTAAAGTTTAAGGAGTGAAAAGACCATCCAAGTCTAGATCAGGAGAGAGAAATGGAATTTTTGTTTTAAAAACCAACAAAAATTGTGCAACAAAAACCACGAATATGTGAATACTTTGAACATTGAAGTAAATTTTAGTTACAGTATCAATGTATTTACAGTTAATAATGTATCATACCAATAAAATAAGACAAAATGGACCAACAAAAGCGTAGACGGTTCCACCCTCAGCAGATATAAAACACCTACAAAAACAGGGAAAGGTCAAGGTTGGTTACAGTTTTCTCGAAATCATGCATTGAAGTGCATGTTAAAAGCAGATTGCCAAAATCATCCAAAGACCAGGTCGATGTTGCTCACTCTTTCTCTCTAAGAATATATCATTAATTTTTTTGCGGTTGTCCATCGATTATACATACATGTCGCTAAATATATAGGTGACTATAAAAAATGATGCATGCGTAATTGACAAATAGCAGGGCATTTTAAAAATGTTTTCCGGCAATTTCTTTAATTAGATCAACATGCCGACATCTTTTTATTTTTCGAACTGGAATTTTCGTTAACGAGGCAAGACAGGAATAAATTAAAGAAGGGATAATGTAACAAAGTAATATCGAAACGAACTTACGCAAGGTTTCCACCATAATCGTCATAACGAGCTCCTAAAGTTACTCCTACGATAATTAGTGGTAGACCTGTAATAAAAAATCACGTCTGTAAATAAATAAGTTCAACCACTACACTTTTGCGATTAAAATCAAAGAACTTTGCTAAAAGCGCGAAAAAGTTCTAAACAAAACAAAAATGCATATCAAATGCAGACAAACCACGCAGACCAAAAGATTCATAATAACGAGGTGCTGCATGAATGCTAAAGTAGTACAGGAAACACGTCACAAAATAACTGGCTATAGGGAGCACTGTGACACCGGCATGCAGCTCCTTGACATTTCATTAAAAGAGATTACATCTTCGTTTGAACTCACCCCAACTTGCACTTAAATAAATAGGTAGCTTCAGATCACCATGTGAAAAGGCAGTCTCTATCAAGATGGCTAAGTGAACACCTTCGCTTAGCATGAGAAAGAACGCAACCATATAGAAATAATGTAGACATGCTGCAAGTATTTTACAGAGAATCTAAAGAAAACACACAGTATAATATTGAGTGCACAGTTTTTTTGTATTTTTTCTGGTAAGAATACAATTACGTTCAATTTTAACCATACGATTCTGATGTTAAATACACCAATGCTTATAGGCTCAGGGGCATAGCGTTTGGTGTTACACCCCCAAGTTTTGGCAAGGTGGTCGGTTAAACGACGACGTCGGTCAGCAATAGCACACAAGACAGCAATAACTCACAAGACTCGGTAATAGCACAGAAAGGTCGGCAATAGCACACAAAAGATTTTAGCACACAAAAGTATATAATTTTGCTTGCGATAATTTAAAGTGATAAACAGATTCTGAAAATTTTGCATCCAGTGTCCAATCATTCAATGATTATGTACACTTCTAAAACGCATACATTTCAGATTTATAGCATTTTTACCATGCAGTGATATTGATACATGCTACAGTTTAAGCTATTGGATGTTTGTATAATTTTACTGTAGTAATGAAACCAAGGCTATATGCTTTCTTAGACGCGTCTCAAGTGCCACGTGTTCGGTGGTAAAATTTGAGGGTTGTGACGCCACGCCCCGGCTTACGCTGTTTCTATAACCACCAAATCAATATTGACAGTTTAGGCCAAGAAAAATAGTGCTAACCTGGTATTTTGTTTCAGTTATACCAAATAGTAAAATTAACTGAGCTACAGCGATAGCAAATGCCAGATTAATGTGGAGATAGTGACGAATATCTTTTTTCCTAAAATATAGATTAACATTTAACATGAGTTGGTGGCAGGATCGTGGCCAATCAGCACCGTGTATTTTGGAGTTAAGCACGATGCATTATTAATCCAAAACGCACAAAAAAATGTAATGATCAAGGTTTCGTTTGAATAAACACAGTTACTTATGTTATGTAAGATATAAGTAAAGAAAACACTTACTTTAATGTGAAGAACATAAGAAAACAGAGCAGACAAGCAAGAATTGATAAAGTACTTCCGATTATAGTGATGATTTTTAAAGATAGCGGAGGATCGCTGTACGGCTAAAGAAAAGCGATAAATGGCATTTATCAAGACATTCTTTCAAAAAAAAACAGACAAAAAGGCGATTTTGAAAATATATTGCAATTATAACCTAGTCATATGAAATAACCTTTCCCACCCTCTAACTGAGCCTCTAGCTACGGTCCTGTCGTAAAATACTGTAAATCGGAAGCTAATTTTTAGCTTTTCGCTTGCCAACAAACATTCATGAGAAAATAATGTGCTATTCTCTTTGCCATAAGCGAATAATTGATTTAATTGACTTGCGCCAGAGGCAAAGTATTTGATTGGGCTTTCTTTCGCAAGTTTCTACTATTCTATACACTTACGGCTCCTTCTCTTTGCAATAACAAGGCAAAATTTGTCAAGTGGTTGCACAAGCACACAGCTTTCGTAGACGTTGAGTGTGTTTTGTCCAGCTCACAACCCTCACTTGACCAACTTCCCAATTTCCCATCTGAAGCTCTTAAAGGAAAAGAAACAAATATTCAGTAGAAATTTAGTGTAATTTACTATCCCATTTCGACCTTAAGAATTTACTATTCGATTGCGGCTCTATATATAGCGCTTTCTATACTGAATTTCGCTAAAAATATCTTTCCATCCTTGCACTTTGCCCTGGTTGCTTCTTACAACTTAAGGTATATTAAAGTTTTAGGCTAATATGCTTTATGCTTCTTTCTAAACGTTTTAGCTATATATATGCGATAAATGACTATAAAATTCTTGCTCCAAGAAAGGACGAATACGTATCAAAACTGAAATAAAATGACCTAATACCTACTAATAGCTATTCTCATTTTTACTCCATTTATTGTTTTGCACGGTACAGTTTAACTTATGCCCAAAGCTATATTTGAGCAAGTAGAACGGCGGAAGTAGAACGTCTTTAATACCTTTCCGAGTGATTCCAAAATGAACAAACTTGTTTGTTGGAAGTATTAATCTAAACATTATGAGGCAATAGTTGATGCTAATGCTATATATTCATGCTTTATGCTGAACATGCAGTATATTTTTTATATAATAATTTAAACTGATGATGCAAAGTTCAAACCTGAGCATGGTTAAAGGTGATTTTAAATCGATTTTTCGGGTCTAGAGGTTTTTTCAAAGATGGATGAACTGCAGCTGCAATAATCTTGCTAAACAGTTCCACTGTAACGTTTGGTTTTGACCTAGAGCAATCAAATGAAATGAAATAAATATTCATATACTGGGTGCATAAAAATGTCCCTATTACCAGAAAACGGTGAAAATATCCAGGTCGCGTTTGTGACGAACAGTTAAAATGAAGAAAATATCCAAGTCGTTCGAGGTGTTAAAAAAATAATGAAATCGCTTTGTTTTTTATTTCGCTTTTGAGTTCGGTTTTCAAATTTATTCGCATGCAGTATTTATTTACTTATATAGTATTAGAAATTTCTTATTAACCGAGCGCGAGGTCTTTACCGAGAAATATCGGACCGAGGTCTTTTTGAAGTTTGAACAGACCGAGCTCAAAGAGCGAGGGGTTTGCACCAAAAGATCGAGGTCCGATATTTTTCGGTAAAGACCGAGCAAGCGAGGTTAGTAAAAAGTTTATTATATTACATGGCATAAGGCATGTATTTGCACTTGAAACAAACCAGAAATGCATGAATTCTTATTAGTAGCTTGGTACGCATTTGATGAAAACAAAATATTGAATTATTTAGATAACGTAAGCTCTCTGGAGAAATCTTTCTGATTTCAAAAGCAAATAAATTTTCTCTTCAGCATTCATTTGTGCCTTTTTCATTCAGAATTTCTCTTTTTTTCATCTCGTAATGATAACGCCGGTCCATTCCGGCAATCGACAATCACGCTAAAACCAACGAAGCATTTAATCTACTCTGCGTAATGACATATTCTAAAAACTTTAGGGTGCTAGCGTTGCTCTCATCACAGACCATTTTTTTCTTAACTTTGACAGCTCGTTTGATAGCCATATTCTTTGTAAGCTGTGTAGTGACATTTCTTTTTCTGCTTCACATTATCCGCGCACATGCTAACCCTCTCGGTAGAAGGAATGGAGAAATTAAGGAATGGAGTCTCAACTATGCGTAAGAACACAAAAATATTCTCTAATTTTGCTACTGTTCGACTAATAATAAAACCAAATTCCTGCTTACATTCTAAATTCAAGGGGAATCTTCTCATGAAGGTGGCTATAAGCAATACAAGCAAAGGCTCTTGGCTCTATTATAAAAAAAATAAAGATGTGTTGCCCGTTATAATGCTAAGCTCATCTTAAATATAGATTTATATATAGAGTTATATAATTAGTAACGTTTTACCACAAATACTAGCTATAGGAACTAGAATCAATTATACTTATCAGAATCATAACTATATGTGTTGCATGAAAAATTTGAAGGAGGAATGTGATTATTACTTCCACTTTCACTCTTCACCATTTCATCAGGAAATGAAATGGTTTCACTAGATTTCTGTACATATTCTTGCTCAGGCGATGGAAATGAAAATCCAGTGAGAGGAATTGTCAAGTAGATGACTATAAAATATACATAATTTATTCGGCATTAAATTTAAAGTTGACGTTAACTACCAACAACCAAAGAGATGCTCGTGAAAGGGTACAAACTCTAAGCGAAGCTAAAGTCAAAACTAAGTATTTTCTTATAGCGTCCAGGGGCCGATTGTTCGAAAGTTAGATAAAGTTATACACTGGATAATTAATATTTCAAACGTTAAAAAATCCCCACCAATTGACATGACGAAGATTGAACTTCACAATTTTGAAGTTAAATTACTTTTTAACGATAATAAATCTAACATAAGTTAATCATCTTTCAAAGCCGTTTTACGACAGTTAAAAAAAGTCAATATCCAGAGAATAACTTTATCCACCTTTAAACAACCAGCCTCTGCTGATCTGCATGAGATCATGATGTCATAAAGCGAGTGCGCCTGGAGTCATTTAATTATGATCGTTCTTTTTACTGAAAGCGTCATAGGCGTGAAAAAAGAATGCATTTGTGTAAAAATAATAGAATTACTCAAAAATAAATTTTTGGTCGAGGATCTGGCTTCTGATTGGTTGATTTTTGTATTTAGATCCGCTGGCTTTGCCTTCTGGACGAGTGTCTTTAATTTGTGCAACAACCAAACTTACGTGCACTTGAAGTGTTCACAGTTACAGACTGATTAACTTTTAATGCTTTTCGAGTAAGATTAAGAAGGATAATTTCAGCATCTTTGGTGCCACCCATTGCAACTCTTGCCCTAGCATCATCGTCTGATGTGTTTGCCGTTACAGCGATCGGCAAAATTTTTCCAAAGTTATTCTGAATAAAATAAAAATACAGAAAACGGTTATACCATTCTATGATTTACGCGCGATAACATATTGTTTAGAGGGTTGTAATAACAAGTATAACAAGGTTGGTGCAGTGATTAAAATTATAAGAAGTCTATTCGTGTAGAATGAAGGAAATCAAAATTTATTTACACTCTATAAGCTAATTTATTAGTCTAGTTGGTCCTCCACCCTCCCGAGACTATAGAGTATAGTATTTAGGCAATGAAAAATAGCATACCGAGCGGAAAGGAAATTAAGTATTAGCAAAGTAAGAAGTGAATAAAAAGACTTCTTTTCAGACATTTTAATATAAAAGTGAGCGATAAAATTACACGACGTTTCGATGTCATCATAACATCATTCTCAAGTGAATTAAAACTAGAATAAACATGTCCTTATATGCCATGAACTAAAAATTTGCATTTAGCCCTTGCTCAGGACAAATGCAAATTTTTTGCTCATAGCATATAAGGACATGTTTATTCTAGTTTTAATTCACTTGAGAATGATGTTATGATGACATCGAAACGTCGTGTAATTTTATCGCTGACTTTTATATTAAAAAGTAAGAAGTACATCAATTATCGTGGGCCTATTGCTATACAGTGGCAGTCATTTCACTAATATTAAAATAAGTAGACGGTTATTAATCGTCACGGGGGTATCAATCTCGCTTTCATGGGTCTGTAAAAACACTTTATACTGCATGAGAAAAGAACTTTCTACTTCACAAGCAGATTTCCACGTACTTCTGGTAAAAGATGCTACTAACAATCTTGTCTTATTGAACATTTTTTTCAACAACTTATATCAGCTGCAGGCGGTCAAAACTAAGCGGTCAGACTTACCTTTAAAAACTCCACTGCTCCTGTTTTATTCTTAATTTTTTCCAAATATTTCCGTATAGAACTCTAATGCAAAAGAGAGACGAATGTAATATAGAATATTCTACTAATATTTAAAAAGAATAAAGTTCGTGGAAAAACGTAATATTTAGAAAATGAAATACCTAAATTATTGCTCGCTGCTATCTAAGTTCTGATATTACGGCACGTCAAAGTTACAATTGGGCAAAAACAATTAATCGATAAAAATATAAAATTAACAAACTTGGTTCTATGAGGAACTGTAAAAACTACTTTCACATTCGGTTTATCATCACACTACATTACCACTTCAGTAACGCATAAGATTTTACATGGATATTTTAAAGACCTAATTTCAGTGGCATTGTACGTGACTAATTCCTTTTGAAATTGTTTATCTTACAGTCTGCATGTTAACATGAATATATGAATATGCCTCCTCCCACCCCCTAGTGCCGGGCGGGAATCACATTCTTAGTTATAAAAATTAATGTTCAACAAGTTGCTTAATCTTTTTACTGAAAATGGGATATGTCATGGTGTCAATAAATACGAGTGAGGTTATAATCCTTCATGGGAAATCATAATTGCATACCACATGCATGCATGCTAAAGATTGTAGACGATCTGTTAATTTGATGAATACAACTATACGATTACTTTCGCTATGTACTACTTAAATTCACAGCACTTACAGTTGCAGGTTTAATTGAAGTTGCAGTTGCAGTTGCAGGTGTAGGTTTAGTTGAAGTTGCAGTTGCAGGTTTAATTGAAGTTGTAGTTGCAGGTGCAGTTGGAGTTGCAAGTTTATTTGAAGTTGCAGTTGCAGGTTTAATTGAAGTTGCAGTTGCAGGTGCAGTTCCAGGCGCAGTTGCAGGTGCAGTTGCAGATGTAGTTGCAGGTGTAGTTGTAGGTGCAGTTGCAGGTGTAGTTGCAGGTGTAGTTCCAGGTGTAGTTGCAGGTGCAGGTGCAGTTGCAGGTGCAGTTACAGGTGCAGTTGCAGGTGCAGTTGCAGGTGTAGTTGCAGGTGCAGTTGCAGGTGCAGTTACAGGTGTAGTTGCAGTTGCAGGTGCAGTTACAGGTGCAGTTACAGGTGCAGTTGCAGTTGCAGTTGCAGTTGCAGGTGCAGTTACAGGTGCAGTTGCAGGTGCAGTTGCAGGTGAAGTTGCAAGTACAGTTGCAGGTGCAGTTACAGGTGCAGTTGCAGGTACAGTTGCAGGTGTAGTTGCAGGTGTAGTTGTAGGCACAGCAATTTCAATTTCCAAAAACAAAGCAAAAATTGTCAAATGATTGCATAGGCACACTGTTTTCGTGGAGGTCATGTTTTCCTTGTCAAGTTTACAGCCGTTCGTTGACCAACTTCCGATTTTTCCATCAGCAGCTCTTAAATTGAAAATACTTAAAATTTAACGTTTACATTTTGACGAAAACGAGAGAGAGCATCAGGTAGCCAAATAAATCGGTTGAGTATATATTGGAAAATCTTTTACCTTTTCGAGTCATTCCAAAATAAACATTGTCGTTCGCCCGAAACAATCTAAACAAAAAAACAAACAAAGACAAATAAATTTTATCACCTCCCCGTAGATTATAATCATGCAATACATTTTGCTATTGGCGTTCCCCGAAGTTCCAGTGAGAAACTAGTGACAAGTTTAACGCTCCTACACAATGTATCAAGGAGGAATTGTTTTGGACGAAAACAAATAGCTTAATCTTGAATAGAGTCCTATGATGCACTGCAAATCCCAATATTATATACCACTCATTTACCTACCGTATTTATGGAATAGCAAAATAGAATATAGAAAACAGCCAAAGCAACATGTTACAGACAATAGATATCTACTTCAAAACTTGAAAAGTGTATATTTTAAGCCCCGTTTACACTACAATCAGTTTACTGACGCGGCAGGGGTAAAATGGATACCCTTACCAAATTTTATTTCTTCTCAGACTACCAATACAAATTCCGACCACGAATGAAAATGGCACGGGCACCCATTTTCGCAGTGCCGCGCAAAAAAAATTAAGCGTAGTGTTAATGTCGCTTTAGTAGGTGAAAAATTTAACAAAATGCTAAGTCCAAACCTTAGTATGATTAAAGGTGATTTTAACTGTATTGTTAAGAGATTTATTCAACGGTGGGTCGACTGCGGCTCCAATAAGCTTGCTAATCAATCTCACTGTAATATTTGGTTGCGAAGGATCAGATGAGCTGTAGTAAAATACAGTATATTAGCAATTACTGATTACTGGACAGTACAGTACATATATTATTTTGAAAGATAATAAACGCACGTAAATGATTATACTCACATTATAAATTCACGAGGCATATATTCAAGAGGGTTGGAATAGGCTATACAAGCAAAAGCTCTTTTACCTGTAATATTCATAAAAACATTCACATGATAATTTTGTATACAGCAGGGAAACATGCATAAAACTGACAAAGATAAGTATATATAAGGTATATATATAACATCTTTCGGTTTTTTGAAAAAATGCAGCATTAATTGCATTTAAATAAACAATGCCGGAATAAAGTCATGCATTTACATGTTGCGACTTCTTCAAAGCATGTATATAATTATGTAAACTGTCTTCAATGAATTAACATCAAGTGATGTATGGTATTTGAACCACAAATGTTACCGATGTCTTGAAAAAGCACTTTGGCTTGATCCAAAATAGCTTCTTAATCAGTCAAGTTATCAAATGAAAGAAGTTTCATTAAAGTTTCGGTAGTTAGAGGACAGACTAACCTGGATTTTGATATTTTTAGCCGTCAGACACTTAACAAACTGATGCAAATACGACATTAGCTTTAAACACTAATATCCCTAACTAATAACAGTAATATGAATTTTTGAGTAAAATATAATTGAAATATACCATAATCTAAGTTTACGTTTCCTTTATTTAATGAAATTTATTTCAGTTTCATGAATTCACTTGTTAAAAAATTATTATCAATCAAACCGGAGCACATTTTCAATAACTCAATTTAGATCATCCATAAAAATATTAATTTGAAGCAGGAATGTACTAGCTACCTCCATTTGCCATTTCACTGGGAAATGAAATTGATTCATTGATTTTCTTTTTTAATTTTCTTTGTTCTTCATCTGATGGAAATGTAAATCCAGAATCTGGCTTTGTCATTAGGACGACTATTAAAAAGAAAACATCATCCGTGCATAGAATGCTCGTGCAAGATCCCTAATGTAATGTACAGTACTGTCCAGAAATATCCTAACAAAAACCGCCGTTAACCTAAGTCAAACCTCGGTCTGATCGCGGTCAGTGGAGGTAAGACCGAGATGGAACCGTGGTGAGACGGAGATTAAACCTCGGCCTTACTCGGTTTGACAGACATTTCTTAAGATTTTTTCGATTTGATCATTGTGTTGTCCTTTTCTGTTCATAAAATTTCATTCGGAAGCAAACGGCCATTGCGTATAGGTATTTTTTCTTTTGTGGTCTATTGCTCGACCGCAACTGAACCGTAACCGCAGTGTTAGGTTATTTCTGGACAGTACTGTAGGTTGTCGACTTGATACACTTTGATTGCATACAGAAACAAAAAAGATCAATGATTTCACTACCAACAACAATAAGGACAATTATATACTGTACCTTGACCGAGCTAATAATCTCGCAAACGTTTAACTGTATCTCTTTTTTTTTGACAAGTTAGGGAAGTTTTTTAATTCTATGCAACCAACCAACTTACGTGTCTCCACAGATTTAGCCTCCACAACTCGAGATTCACCGACGTCCAGTGTATTTTGAGCAAGAATAAGAACGATGCTCTCAAATTCTTCAGTGATATTTTTTGCACTAATTGTCCTATTATCCTCCACAGATGCATTTGCCATAATCTCTGCGACGTATTCCTAACAAAATAAAAAATGTTACTACTAATACGGAAGTGTAGTCCAATATTCCAGGCGAGAGCGCATAATTATTTGAGTCAAACAAATAATAAAAAGTCTAAGATTATTATTATCATTAAATAAATATCCAACATAACTATAGGGTGCAGCGTGGCAGCGTCTTCAAACAACTTAGCATCAAATGTGGTACTACCTAAAATAGACAAACATATCGAACTCTCCTGACGAAGGACCTCAACTCGAAACGTCGAGAAGTGTTTTGTCTATTTTAGGCAGTTGTTATACCACATTTGATGGAAAGTCATTTATATGATATATAAGTGATTAACTACAATACGGTAATTCAGCAAATTAACCTGTTAGGACACTTCATTTTCCTTAAATAGAGTTACGCTTTTATCGACATAATTATGTTTGGATGGACCTCTGATCTTTTATGGCATGGGGTCTAATTGTGCATCCCTAAACTGTGACCCCAGGATCAGAAATAAACGCGTGTATATTGTGTATTTTTCACTCCCTGGTACAAACCATCGCTGATCGCAATGTTTATAGGGAGACAATATTTTCTTTACAAGCAGATAGTTTTTTCAACAATTTACGAGCAGTTAAAGCAAAAGTATACCGCTGACACGCAGTCTTATTTACGTTTTCCCCAAACTCTTAATATTATAATAGTCGCAAAAAAATAAGTCAATTGTCAGACATACCAAAATTAATTCATCTGCTTCAGTTGCATTCTTGATATTCTTAGCTCGCTGCTGATAGGTAAGACTCTAGTGCAAAAAAACGAATATTGACAGGGAATATATTAGTACATTAAATATAAAATTGATTTAGAATGGGATTAGTAGCTACAGTTGTGGCGAAAAACATGAATTTCGAGCACGGCTTAGTCATTGCAAGAGCAATACCAAATCACATGCCAAAAGATGAAAGGCGTAACCTGGTGGATCCTAACTTTATTTCTACAATTATTTGGTATGAAATCAGATGCACCATTTAGTGTTAATTCAACAAAATTTCGTGGCCTGGGGCCGGTTGTTCAAAGGCCGGTTAACGCTTACCCATGTAGGGTTAAATTTTAAACCTCGGTTGATTTGCGTTGCACAAAGCCCGGTTAGCGTTAACGTTAGGTGGTTTAACTAAAAGATCCTGTTAACTTCGATTCAAAAAGGATTAATAAGGAGTGGAAACACGTAAACATGCACGTACAATTCTTTATGAATTAAGCACTTTTGAAAGGTTTAACGAACAATTTCGGATAGCAAACAGTAGCGTAGCCAGCCTGTCGATTTGTCCCGCTATGCTGATAATTTAGTTTTCACTGACTGTAAAAACAGTATTTTCTAAAGATATGAATAATTATAATAACTCGAAATTTAGCGGGACAAAATCGTCAGGCTGGCTACACTGCTGACAGCAAAGAATTATTTCAGTTTGGCTTCGTTCTGTTTTAGCTGATGTATTGATTTATTCATCTTCTCTTCAATGCAGCAATACATGATAAATATACATACAACCGTAAAAATGAAAACATCGTAATCGAAAAATATATAAGGTATCTTAGCTGATCATTGTACACTAGCGGTCAAAAAGAACTGCACAAATGTTGCTGTTATCGTATGCAACAGGAATCGTAACAATCAATATTTTACTGTACACTAGCGGTAAAAAAGAACTGTTTAGATACAAATTCATAAAAAAGAAGCGAATATAGGAAAGAGCTTCATAGGCATTTTGGATAATTCTCTTATTCCAAGCAATATTTCAATAATGTAATGCAACTTGCCACCCTTCCAAGATATAGTCAAACAATGGTTTCAGGAAGAGGGAGTGATTTATGCGTTGCTGTAAATACTGTCCATACCATGAATTCCTTTTGACCGTTAAGATTATCACCTTAACAGAAAGTATGCCACGCCAGTTTAAGGCCGTCATCAATTATAAGGCCAAAGGAGGGCCAACAAAATATTCATATTTCATATAGCTTAGCATGTAATCTAGTTTAACTTATAATTATTTACTCGTATGTATTGTTAGAGGGACAGTTACGTTCATTTGAGAGCATTTTAACTTGTTTCAGCAGTTCTTTTTCACCGCCAGTGTATTTGAAACTTCAAAATATCAATGTTCGTGATTAGCAGTGGTATGACTACGTTTGCTTCTTAATCTAATAATCAAACATTGCCTGCAATTCAAAAATCGATTGTTTATAATTTGCTTAATTTTATGTCACATCGTTTAACATACAAAAAGACCTTTCATTTCGAAGCTTTCCAAAATACTATTGACCAATCGAAAGCGTTTTTATATCCAAATTAGTCCTTAAAATACATTTAATCCTACGTTAAATATTTGAACCCAGGCCCTGGGTTAACTAACCGTACCGCTAACCCTGCTGTGAACAACACAGTTTAACCCAGGTTTAACTAACCTAACGTTAAGGCTTTTAACCCAGGTTTAGCACTAACCCAGAGTTAAAGTTAACCTGCTTTTGAACAACCGGTGTCACAGGAAATTTGCCCCCCCGGGCCAAATTTGCTAGGAAATATCTGACGGATTTTATATGGTGCATGTAACCTTGTCTTTGTGTTTGCCGATTGTTTTTAAACGTTTTTATGCAAATTTGTATTAATTACTCCCTAAATGTTAGTCGCATGGACATTAACACTTTCGCCAACGCATGTTGTCATCGCTTGCTAAAGTGTGGTTGTTATTCTGACGAATTTCATATTAGGTTCAGAAACTTGTTGAATATTGAGTCAAAAGTTCGCGATTTCAAAACTATATATATTTTATATATATATTGAGAGTATAAAGTATGTTGCCGATGGGGACCAAATTTCCGAATTGTGAAATACAATTGATTTGTCCTCCCCAGAAATTCTTAATTTGGCGACCTTATAAATTATAGGCTTGGCGGTTATACATACATAGGAAAGGTTGTTTTAGGAAATTACCACTTATTTATTTATTTTTCGATTAAAGCCCCTAGTAATGTTATCTATCTAGTAATGTTAGCCGTGTCCAGTGGAATAATTAAGCATATTTCATGCCTCTTTAGATTAATTGAGGTTAATAACTGACATACCTTTTTCTTTGTCGGAGAAGCTTTGTTTTCGGATAAATAAAAAAGACGCGTTAAAAAAGAGAAAAAGTAATGTTCATCACTTTGGTGTATAATAGAATACAAAAGAACCACCACATCGCAATAAAAATGTGGTTTGATACTATCGAAGGGGACATATAGGGCGCATGGTGAATAATTCGAACCCGGTCAAACATAATTCAGCTCAATCACCCCTAAAATATTTTGTAGCTCGCAAATTGCCGTTCACTAATTCGATTGCCATCCTATATAATTATAGACAAGCAATTCAAATAAAAAAGCTGCCTCGAAATAACACGCTACATAATTGTATTCACTTACGGACTGTAGTTGCTACGTTGCACCTCATAAGAATTCGTATCTCCTTTTTAGACAGTGTTTTATTGTAGATATAAAAATCGTCCATCAATCCGTTTAACGCCTGATTTCCGTAGATATCTTCACTGCCAATTAAAGGCAACCTTCCAAGGGGAGGATTATAAACAGATAATTTGCCATTGTTAGCGTTTTTCGTCCTGTGTGGCTTTCCCTTAAACTCAGTGCCATTGACAAAAAATGTACAGCTCTCGTTTCCTAAACAGTAAAAACACCAAAATTCATTTAATGTTTATACAAAAGATAAAAATCAGAAATATGAATATGGTCTATATAGCCTGTACTCCCGGTTAGACGCACATTGAACAAACACAAATAATTACATTGCTATAGTAACGTTCTATTTGTACTATTTTACTTGTCTGTATGAAAATTCTTCATGTATTTTAGTGGGGGTTTACTTCTGGGGGTCTCTAGCCCCATATAGACCCACCCGGTTACGCCGGCATTGGATGTTCAGAAGACAATTGGGTGAATATTGCAAAATTATACGCTATCCAATATTCTACAATACAGGTCAATAAAGCATCTAAACTAACTAAAATTTGCATATTGTCCCATTGCACTATAGATTTACGTACTTTTTTAATGGCTACCAATTTGATGCGGCTATATCTTGCATGAATCTCACAAATGTTTTATTAGCAGACTTGTTAACATGTGATAACGAAATACAATTCCAATTAATCCAAATTTTTATCGTGTTAAAATGTCCAATCTGGTGCATATAATAGCCCATTAAAATATTGTGCCCCGATAATATTGATCCTTGTGCTCCAATAATATTGGAGCACAAGCATCAAATTCTACAAAAGGAATAAACCCTGTTTGGTTTATAGTTTTGATCTTTCATTTCTTCCTATCCAATTTAATTTAAATAAAATTCATCACACTTCTTCCGTACTTGGATATACATAATAATCCCAAGTAAGAATTAAAGTATAGCACCTACCTTGATTAAAATTGTAGCTTACGGCGATGTGATGCCATACTCCAACTTCCAATTCTGTGTCATTAACTCGCTTGAATGCTATTTTCTTTTCTTTAACATCAAAAGAAACTGACCAGCGCAGTTTTTTCCTTGGAGAAACTCTAAAATACAGGAACTTCATCCTGTCGTTGTTATCCGTCCCATTACTGACATGAAAACTTGTAAAAATCGAACGCCGTTCTTCCGGCTTGAAAAGTATTGAAAACAAGACTGTGGAAAATTGTATCAACTATCAACTGCCATGAATCGAAGCAGTTATTATAATTTTTCATTAAAAAATTACGCTTTAAAATATGTACATTGTACATTTTATACATCTTTATAGCTATTCACTACAGAACGTTGTACTAAACATATTAAGATGGGTTATCTTAAAGGGTATTGGCAATAAAAATTTAGATTTCATTAATTTCAAAGAGCTTTTGAATTATAATGATAGTTCTATTTCAGATTTTTTCATATCGCGCTTTCTTCATGAAATATTCTGACTGTCCGCCATCTTGGATTATTACAATATGCATTATACGTCGCCACTCACCATGCAGTGGGACCATGCGACATTATTATCTTGACTGCCGATTATGAATATGCCACAAAACGTACATCAAAATAGCTAGGCTTGAAATAGATCCCATGGACCAAGTTTTCAATCCTATTTTATTCGCTAGAAGCAATTCTAAAAGGTTAATCCCGCATGTGACGACATCAAAACTGTAGGTAATGGGACCCAATAATGAGGTTAGAAAATAATCCAAGATGGCTGACAGTTTGCTAGTTTTAGTCAAAATATCTCATGAACAAAGCACGATATGACAAATATAAGATATAACTCTTATCCTAATTTTAAAAGCTCTTTCAAATAACATATTTAAACTAATTTTTTATTTCCCATACCCTTTAAGACGTCAAATTACCTCATCAGACCGGTTTTCGTTCAATTTGATCCAAGCGACAACAGTTATCGCCAAACCTGACACGTTTTTAGAGCTGGGTCGATTGAAAGATGGTTCGTCGATACGTAGAGGCCGTCCAATAAGAACAATTCCTTGCTTACATTTTCCTTCTCGTCTTTCTATATTATCCATCGTCGCTAATCTTTTGTTGCCTGATTTATCAAAAACATTTTCTTTCGATGTCCCTTCAAAATCGTAGTTCAATAGGCAATCTTTCTTCAGACCTGAAAATATCAAATAATCAATATAAGATAGATGGTAAGTAAGCCTGGGAACTAGTATGTGCTGAACAGTCTTATTTGCACTGAATGAATTTGATACCATGCAATGATGCGCCCTCTAACGCGGTGAAGTCGCATTTAGCTTGGTTAAAAAACTTCATACATCTCGCCCAGCACATTGAAAACCATATTTATAAGTCAATGTTTATATTCAGTACACGCCATAAAGAGGGTAACAGCGGGTTCCGAGTGGTGCATTCTATTTTTTCTAGGAATTAATCAGGAGAGAATGTTTAGTTGCCTTAATCGTGAAGCTATAGGTTAATTGTTGACGTTGTGTAGGTAATGGTTTTTAATGAATGCTGTGCTATAATTTGCTCTTCTGAAAAGCGAATATCATTTTGGTCCCAAGTTATTTTCATCGGGAACTCAAATAATTTAAGATATGAACTCGAATAACCAAAAGTGGAGCACATGGGCATAAGTATTTATTCTGAATCATGCAATGACTCTGTATTTTGTCTTTAGGTAATTTTCAGATCAGGTTTATTAGAAGTTTTAATGTCACCAAGCTCTGTGTTCATTCTTTACTTGACATATTTCCCAACGTACAGTACTGTGCAAAAGTTTTAGGCCCCCAGTCAAATTGTCACTTGTTAGTAAAATTCATGCTATTGCAAGACATGCTAGGTAGAAAGACTTGTAGTGGTTTTGCACTTGTACAGCTACCATGAGAGACCATTATTGCAGCACAATGCCCACTCATTGACCTAACAAGCTTGTTTGTTACATCTGGATCAACAGCCTCACGTGATGCGAAAATGGTCTCTTTCATTCTTCCAGATGTCGAGATGGTCTTCTATCTGACCTCTTCCTCACTTATTCCCAAAAATGTTCAATGAGGTCTACGTCAGCAATCTCTTATAGCCCTGGGCTGGTCAATATCACTTTCTTTCAGGCTCTTTTCTGAATGACATGGTGCCCCCATCTTACTGGAAGATATAATCTCCACCACAAAGCCATCTCATCTATTAGGAAAGTTCTAGATACAAGCCAAACATACTATTTTCTGTATCTAGTCGAAAATTTACGATCTTGGGACTTCCTAAAAGGTGGAGAGAGCTTTGCGGTTGAGATTTTATCTTTGAACAAGATAGGGCACCATGTGACAGAGAAAAAAGCCCCACTGAAAGAAATATCAATCAGTTCAGGGCAACGAAAGAATTCTGACCTAAACCTGTTCGAATATCTCTGGGAATAAGTGAAGAAGAGGTCAGATAGAAGACCATCTCGACATCTGGAAGAATGAAAGAGACCATTTTCGCATCACATGAGGCTGTTGATCCAGATGTAACAAACAAGCTTGTTAGGTCAATGACTGGGCATTGTGCCGAAATAATGGTCTCTCATGGTGGCTGTACCAAGTGCAAGACCACTACAAGTCTTTCTACCTATAATGTCTTGCAATAGCATGAATTTTACTAACAAGTGACAATTTGACTGGGGGCCTAAAACTTTTGCACAGTACTGTACATCCACAGGATGTATAAAAAAACACAACCACAATAATTCCCAGGGGCCTATAAAGATCATTTGTCATTAAAAAGAAGCGACTGAAAAGAAGTGGTTTCGTTTTTTTTATACTCTCTATATTTTTTTTAAATCTGATGAACAAAGCCCTTTCTAAATGATTGCAGCGTATTTAATTAATAAAACATTAAGCCAAGTTCTTTTAGACGTCAAACTTTTCGTGTGCTGAATCTAATGTTAATGAGCTTTGTTTTAGGTATTTGCATTTGATTTAGCACATGAAAATCGCGGTACCTGTATACATTTGAAATTGATAGTTGAAATCGAGAATGCAGCCAGGCAAGGGCGGCAAACTCCACATTGACAGAGTCTACAGGCACCTAACTTATAAAACCAAAATTGCACGAGAGTGCATGAGAGCGAATGTGGTGTGAAGCAAGGGAGAAGGTATCTGCAGCCTCTACGTTTTTTGACAGGAAAAATAAATTGCGCCAGAATCGAAAGTGCGTAAAATAGAATGTTCTTGAAGAAGGACGCCCACCGACCCCGTGTAGTTCTGCACGTGCCCCCGCACAGAATTTCGGCTGCCTGTATAAAGTATTTTCCCACGCCAATGCCGAAAGAGATTGACGACGGAGAGTAATAAAAATATATATGAGGCCAATGGATTAATTTGCTCCGCACCAGATTCTATTGTCACGCCTGGTCAATCGATCGATCAAACGGTGTTTGCACACAACGCGTACAGAATGGTCATCTCTATAATGAGGAGGAGTCTGACTTGTGAGGAAGCGAATTATGGAGACGGGAGAATATTGGTCAGGAGTAAATTGTGAATGCAGGTTTTACATATTGAAAGAATGAACAAAAGAGGCCATGGGGGGGGGGGTCTTTGAGTGAGGAACCAGAATCTGTTATTTTCAAATATAAACATAGACATAAATGAGACATAATAGGCTAGTCGCTACACAACTATAGGCATAAGAGAAATGCAATATCAATATAAAAATATGAGTAATTATGCGGGTTTTTTTGAGCAATAACGCGTTTGTACTGTTTTTAGTATTGCGAGAGGGATACTTCAGTTTTATAAAACATCCCGTATATTTTATATTCTTGTAATTTTGAAAGCACTCAAATCATAGGTTTGTAGAAACATCACTTGTATTTATGGCCTAAATGCACGGATGAAGGCCAAGGCGAAGACGCGGGTTAACGAATCGAAAGCTCCTCACAGAGTAAACATATCACGTGCAGGTATTCCTACAAAAGTGACGATTTAAGTTATCTTGTATTTAATTTATTTGAATTACAGCCGGTTTGTTCGCTTTTCAGACATACAATGAGATTACGTAATTTGTTTTCTCAAATGGGTTAACAGACAACTTTTCAGCAGGGGGTAGTTAAATCGTAGTCAACTGAAAAATACACGATTTAAATTGGATAATTTCGCCATTAACAACCGGTCCTTTTACAATCATACAGTAGTAGATATTGATATAGTAATTTCGCCTGGGATATTAAGGGATTTTAGGACTAGGTGCCGTATTTTCAAGCGACGTCGAATTTACGAATAGTTTTTTGTTTCAAAACGTAATGGGGGGCCTTTTGAAAATACGCTACGATGTATCGCATCTAACATGCTCTAGCTTTTGTGTACAGAAAAACCACGGCTGGGTATTCGATTAATTGGTCCGACTGTTTATGCATGTCTATAGTTGACATTTGGTCTCAACTGTCACAAACATGTAAGTTCTTTTTTACTGATGTGAGGTAGTCCGGATGTATATTTTATATTCAAATAAGTCTTGGTTGACAGCACAGACGTAACAACATTCTATAAACTCGTTCACCTTGACATGCCCACAACAGCAACCATCAAAATAATGGAAACTTGCCTTCATAACACATCGTGTTTGTGCACACCTGCTATACCACAAGTTTCAAGGGCATTCATGCAATTGATCGGTAGACAACGCTCACGAATTTTCTCGCATTTCAATACATATAAGAGCTAGTTGGCCACTACTGAAGACACAAAAAGAGTTGTTTCTGTGAACATTTCAAATATTGATGAGAATTTTTAAGAGGTTTTGCCACCACTATATAATGTTTACAGTCAAGGCCCACTCGATCTCTTGCAACCTTTATCGGGTGCCGGTAAAGACTCGATAAAAATCTCATGTTAAAACTGCTTGAAGAATTTGCAACAAATTAAGACAACTGACAAATTATATGAATTTGAAACCAGCCTTTATCGCTATGACTATATAGCCCCGTTTACACTACAGTAAATTTATTCGCACGACAAGCCTAAAATGTATTCAATTATATTAGTGTTCAGGCTAACAATACAAAGGCCGAGCACGGGCAAAATGGGCACGGGTATCAATTTTAGCCGTGCCGTCCGTGCCGATAAATTGAGTGCAGTGTAAACGGGGCTTATATGTTAGGCACTGCACTACACGCACCTGCTTAGAATATATAACACGTTTGAACTACATATACTTACGCTATACAAAACTTACCCGTCTGTACTTCACCAAACACAACGATGAGATGACATAGGCAGAGAGCTACAACGCTGATGACCATTGAATTCCTGGCTAGATGTTTTGTCATCATCCCCACTGGGAGCAATGCAATGAAATATTACGATCTCCTCGGATTTTTTTAATTCTCACAGTAACAACTTGTAATGAGTCTTTCTATTTCTTTGTCTTTCTAAGTGAAATAAACATCGAAATATTAAATTCACAGGGCATTGACATTTAATCGCGATTATAATTGTTCGTACAGTGAGCACATTTGGATTACAGCATGCCTACTTGCTACGGCCCTGCTTGTGAAAAGTATAATTAGCATTTGATAGGATAATTTACATAACACAAAGCCATCCAAGTATGCGGACAAATGATATTGTCATATTTTAATGTTACGTCCTATACGTTTAACAAAGAGACACTTAAAATAACATGATTATAAATTTAAAAATGCAAATTCGAATTTATTCTCGAATGCGAAACACGTCACATTTTATAGAGTCATTATCAAAATACTCATGGCAACAATATACATGCAATATATTATAGATAGCTACGGTGCATCAAAGAAAACGACTTGGCCGCAAAATAATTTATATTAGTGTACCCCCCAACTTGCAGGCAGGTTTGGATATTAATAAAGTAAATGCATGTAAAAGGGAGTTTGTTATTTTTCGGTCATGGACAATTTCAATATCATCATAAGAGATACTCCTACTCCTCAAGTCAAATTCAAAAGTATTGAAATGACTTTCAGTTAGCGCTAAGTGCGCATGCATGATGATGGTCCGCCACGCGTATTCGAGAAATTTCTAGATGACAAAAAAAATTGGAACGGACTTGCAAACATTACAATGATAATCGGATCGGTCACGCACTTTTCAGATGTTGCATGTGAATTGATAATCAGAATTCATGTTCCAAGGGGGTTGAAGTCATTTACGAATGATAATCATGTCTGTAATGCAAAGCACAGATAATCAGAATGCCTATCATAATTATAATGCCTGGTGGGAAAAGTAGGAAGGAGTGCTGACCGAACAATTTGTTGCCCCTGGAACTAGCGATCAGCACTTTCCAACAACTATAGGAGAGGAGAATTATAACGCTATCGAGGGCATGCGTTACGACAGCGGTAACGTCGTCGAAAGAGAGGGCAAAAATATCACGTGGATGGATGAGACGAATGTTAATCTGTTTTACTGAAGGTCGAGCTCCAGCATGTGAACCAGCAGCTATTAGACTTTCATCGTATCAGATGAATTAGAAAAGGGGGATGGAGGGGGGGGGGGGCATTTTTCTGGTAATGATTGAAAGGCTTCCGCGGCTGAAATGTAAGTAGACCCACCAAAGAATGACAAAGAGTATGTTACTCATCATCTAGACACAATCGTACATGTTTCGGACCGTGTTCAGGGAATTGCATGCGTATATATCCCTGCTTGTAGAGATAATTTTGAGCAAAATAAAAGCTCGTATAAAGCAGCACATGCATGAGCTTCTCCAGCTCAACTCCTCGGGTGGTGAGAACAATTTTATATATAGCAATTAACAAAGATTGACGGACTGTTTTGCTGCATATGTACCATGCAGACAGGCTGAAGACACGCTCATATAGTGACTCTAAAAACCGATGGCCCTATATATGTACATATCAGAAGGTACCCTTCCATTAAATATTCAGTTTACTGTTCAGTTCAAGAACATCAAACATCAAGCTATCAAACAACTTCTTGGAAATCTCAGTTGCGCGATAAGCCCTCAAAAAGATCAAATCGTATGAGTTCTCGTTGTATTCTCTACATCGTAGGCTAGAAGCCTGTCTAATCATACATGCTGAGATGTTTATGTCTAACCTACAAGTTCAGCTGTTCGAGAATAATTAATGTAAATTATTTGCTATTCCAAGTGAAAAAAACCTCCCCTAAATGAATTCCTATATTTATAAGTACAATTATATAGTGGAAGCAATAAAGAGACCGATGCTTAAAGACGTCAAGTTGGAAGTAATGAAAGATTTAAATATTCAAGTATTCAGAACTTAGAAGAGTATTACCTGGTTTAATGTACTTTTAACCCTTGAATCGTCCGAAGTTGCGAATGCTAAGTTAAAGCCAGAAAAACAATATGTATCGTATTGACTTGACAGTCCTGTCTTACGGAATAATTGCATCGAAGCGTTCTCTATTTTGCAGGTACCATATACTCTACATATTGTTTTAACTTCCTTCGAGACAGATCTAATTAACTTCATAATCCAAAATAATGTCGATAAATAAAGACTATCCCGCTGTTACGAAGTTTGAATAATTATAACATGTAAACAATACTCAATGTTAAAAATGAAACGTTTAATGCTGTATCCAAAGTGCATCTATATGATCTACTGAATTTGCTTTTCCTAAAGAGTAACCGACGTTTTCATCGTACTGTACATAGATACAGAAAATACTATATCAGCGACAAATTTACGCTTGTTTCTTAACAGCTGGTCATTGGCATTGCATGAAGCAGTCATTGAATCTGATAAGGATACAGTCGGCTATGATATAAGCCCTAACTGGTGTCGAGGAGTAAAAAGCCGAAGTTTGAAATCAGTTATATCGATGAGAAGAACATTTATCGAATAAAATGAAACGTATACTAACGTCTTCTAACATAAACAAGAACAATAAGTCATTATAATATTAATCACTTTTTAAAATAGCAACCTATCTCGAGACTACTAGTTATTTTGCAAATGGAGTGGACGTATGTGTTGTACTGCACATATGAGTATTCTTGAGCAGCTGCACTCCACTTCAGTGTGAGTAAATTATCCCCACCATGCATGATTAGATGCATGATTAGGTTTCCGGTGAAAAAACATAGAATTCCACGATTCGACACTGCGAGACCACTCGTCCAACTGAGAGCTCGAAGCAGTGTCTTAATTTGTGTGATTGATTGATATTCGTGTAACATTTCTCGGATACAATCTATTTAATTAAACGTCACATCGCTATATAACGGTATAGAAAACGAGCTCAGATTGAATTTTATATTTTCAAATCCAGCTTCTTATTTCAAAAGCTAGGGGACTTGAATGCGGAAATAATGTTGTATTCGTTCATGCCAAACATTCCAGGTTCACAGCAATTCCACTACGACCTTTCAGGCCTAATCAACTAGCAAGTTAATATTTTCAACACGATCATGCATGCAGTTAGCATAATATTCATTGTTTAAAAAAAAAATCATAAAATCAATCTATTTAATCGCTTATCAAGCCCATTCAAAATTGAACTGATATCACGCTTTTTTGGGAAAATCTATAAAATCAGTCTTACCTGAATTAGTGTGAGATCGTCCTTATAAACATTGGCAATGCTAAATTGCCCTGCACTTGCTCGAAGTGTTATCAGACGCATTAAGACACTAAACAGTTTGTTTATATTACAAGTAATATATACTCCCACGGAAGCGGATGTTAATTATAAAGGGCAACGAACAAACAAAAAAGTGAAATTGATTTTTTAGGCAGTGTTAACCGCAGATAACAAAGATCTATAACAACTGACAAATCGCTCAATCTGCGGAAACGAGGGGAATAACAGCTTTGCCAAATAGATCAAAAGAGAGCCAAACTACAATCAAAGCCTCCATAACAATCGAAGCCTCCTATATCCATCCATCCATGCAAGCTTGGTTTGTGAATTGCAATTAAAAAGTTATAAATCATGCATACGGTATTATGAAAAGAGCAAGGCGTTCAATATTTTAATATATTGAAATGAAGCACTCTTGATGACAGAGAGTGGATGAAGTGCGAAATTCATAAATGCATGCGGTCAAATTAGCACTTGTCTGAAAACATGATATGGCCAACATTCGGGATATGCATTATTTGTATTGCCGGGTTATGTTTTCAAAAGAATTTTAATTTGGTATCATTGTCATTGAATATTCTTTTCTCTATTCTAGAACATTCGAAATTGAGTGGTCAGACTTTCGGCGCCAAGCCAAAACCATTAATGGTGTGGCAAAAGAAGTAATTTTACTTTTCATGTTGTACAATAGAAACTCGGCCAAATGTATAAGGCATTTTCAAACATAGATTTCCACGATTCAATTTAACAATGTGATTTACTCGTTTTGCAGAAAAAATGATAACGAGAATTTAAATTGCACGTATATATTATACACGGGATATAGATATTGCCATGCGGCATCGAACTGCATGAGGAAACGGTTTTACAAGCTTGTAAATAAAAATAATTAAGAATTTGTGCGAATACATGCTCGTATCTTCACATTTGTGTGCATGCAAAACGCTTAAATCTCAATCTGTCGAATTTTTTATTGCCGTAATTGACATTTTTAGGTCCTTTATAGCTTCAGCATGCAGTTTCCATAGTAGTCGACGATACACCTACATTGACTCTGATATGCTATGCGATTCTAATCATGCAACTCAGGTGATATATGCAGATCCAAGACCCAGGGCTTTGGCTCTAGCCTCTATGCATGTTCATTGTGCGATTTCAGTTAAAACTCAATTCAACTAAAGTTTGACCTGATTACATTAACGAATTATATTCTGCATGGGTTTGCAGTTAAATTCTATTCATGCATGGAATTTTCGTGATAACTGTTGGTCTTCCGGATTTCTGATATAACTTTAACTGTTTTTTACAATGCAGGAAGACCCATGCAGGAAACAACTTACACTTTTATATACAACGAATAAACAGTTATATATATATTCCTATTATATATGAAATAATTTGTGAATTCTATAAATGGAATAATTTGCAAAATCTATCGCGCCTATATATATAGTGAGTACATGATTGCCCCATGTATATATGGTCAATATTCTAATGTTACATCTGCTCACCTCGCATAATCCTTGTTTAATATCTTGCCACTAGGAAAATCTAGTTGCAGGAAATTAAAACTGTATGCATGCAAGATTTATTATAGCTGTTCGAAATTTTTGTAAACATCTGGAGATGCAATACTTGCATGAAATTGAAATCCAAAACAGCACTTATACTGAGAAAAATGTATTGAACTGCAGGTGAAGTCATAAAGTTCGTAGCCGATACTATGTGGATGAGGGATATCTTGCCTTTAATTCGCCCTTGCATGTGCACGCAAAGCAAAACATTAAATTTACTTCTAACGTTTTAAAGGACC